GCCCTGGGAGTGAATAGCCGAGCAGAGCTGCAAGCTGACATGTGGGGGCGTGTGTGCGACCACAACTGAGCCTGTGGGGAGCTGCCCCAGCCCCACATCCAAGCCCTCCTCCCCAAGGGCCCCAGCCACAGCCTCCAGGTCGGCTCTTAGCTTTGTGTCGTAGACTCCCTTGGCGCTGGGGACTGAGGTTCGCCAGCTAGGCGGTGAGACTGTGTTGCTTCTTTTTCCCACTGCAGGTGGGGACGATGCCACCGTCAGGAAATAGCACATGGCCCTTTCCCCACTCTTTCACATCTGCCTGCTGATCCTCATGGCCACCCTGTCTACTGCTGTCCCCATACTGCAGATGGGAACACTGATGTGAAAAGCACTGGGCGTACAACCGTCCAGGCAGCACAGAAGGGAGCTGGCTTCTCGGTCTTTTCTGCCTCAAGGACCAGGTTGTCACCTGGAGAGAGAAAAAAAAAATCACGTGGCATGTGAGGTTGCTCCTGGGTCTCAGGACAGAACCCTTGCTGGGCCAGAACCCAGCAAACCAACACTGTCCCTGTCTCAGGCCCTGCCTTCTTCCTCTGCCTTCCCCCTGCAGGAGGAAGGCTCCGAATGCATGGAAATAAACCAAAGAGGGAGCCCCACAGCCACGCGCAGCCCCCGCCAGCTCCTCGCCCTTCTTCTGCCGCTAGGGCTCAGGGACCGTTTCATTAACCATTCCCATCAACAACAACCCCTGTAAATGCTGGCACTCCTGAAAGGTTGCCCGAGGTCTCTGGCCAACAACCAAGCTCTCCCGGCCCTCAGTTCCCAGATGCAGAGACAAGGTCGCCCCACACAGAGGGCGGGAGGCTGGGCTGGCGCGCACATCCGTCTTCTGGGTGCCGGAGGAGCCACGCCCGTGTCTATCACACATCTCACGCCGGGCTGGGTCTGTGCACCTGCCATGGTCCCCCGGCTCAGCTGCCTTCCTGACATAGCTAGGATGCACCCCGGGCTGGGCTGCCTGCCTCGCTGGGGAGCAGAGGTGAAGTTCAGGAACGCTCTCGTGGTGTCAACGGGTGCAGGAACAGCAACGCATCACTGGTCCGGTGCTCCCCAGAGCCCGGCCTCTGGAGACTGAGACAGGGTGAGCAGCAGCGGCCTTCACACTCCTCGCAGTGGCCAGAAGTCCGAGGGGGAACAGCGCTCTACAATGACAGGGTGACATGCACAGTGACACAGGAGCCTCCGGCCACCTCCTCACCTCATCCATCTCACCCTTGGGGTCCCTCCAGGGGCTGCCCCTTCTTGGAGACCCCAAGGCCACAGTGCCAGGTTCAGATTCAGCATCCAGGCACTGAACACCCCTCTGCCCAGCCCCACAGCCGGCCGACAGACTGCACCTTGCAACCACTGCACCCATGGGTGCCCCACTCCCTCCCAGCCCCTCCCTCCTGACCACTGGGCTCCCGGCCCGCGCCTGCCTTCCGCGGTGCCCTTTGGAAGGCGTCTCAGCACGCTCTACAGGTGCCCGGAGCCTGCCTACAGGCAACCAGAGATGTATTCCCAAGCTGCTAGCTTTATCTGTGCGTGCCCCAATGTGGGCTTTGGGCATGGGGCGGTGGCGGGGTGGGGAGGTCTCTACCGCCACGCCACCCTCTCTCCCATAACTGGGAGCTTCCGTCTGCTCCCAGCGCCCCCCTACCCCCAGCCCGGGGCGGGAAGGAGGGCGTTTAGAGAAGGTAGCACGAAGCTGCCTGCAAAGCCACGAAAGGCTCTGTGTGAGTCCGCACTGGCCTGCCTGCCCCGAGGCTGAGCCGCGGACCGGACGCTCGGCGCCCGCAGGGTCCCCGGCTCCACCGCGGTCCCACAGCGCCACCTCGCGCCGCGCCGGGAGAACACGCGTCGCGTGCCCCGCGGAGGAGGGCACTGTCCCGGGGGCGCGGGCTGCCCGGGGTTGTCAGCCTGGCCATTCCCTCCCAAGTCGTCCTGGGAGCGAAGGAATGGGCAGTAGTGTCATGGGGGGCTTTCCGGGGGCCGCACCGAGTGCGTCTCGGCTGCAGGGTGCTAATGCGCTCCGGACGTGGAGCCCCCAGCAGCGCGGACGTGGGCTTCCCCCAGCCTGTTTCACCGCGGAGAGTCGAGTTTCAGAGAAGAGGAACAACGCGGACGAGGCTCACACCAGTCCCAATGTCCCCAGAAACCGGCGCTGGTACCATCCTTGTCTTCCTCCTGCCGCTGCTTTGGGAGAAGCGCATGGCACCTGCTGCCACGCAGAAGTGAGTTCATAGCCGCCCGGCCACTCAGCACCTCTTTGGCCCAGGACAACCACTGCATAGCCTGCTCTTGCACCTTCTCCCCAGAAGTGCCCTCCCCTCCTGCCATAGCTCCTGTCTCTTCCTCCAGGGAGGCCTCCTGGCTGATCACTCAACTCCCTGATCTCCTGCAGCTCCGCCAAGAGCCCCAAATCATCTGACCCAGGCTGAGTGACATCGACCTGTCCCCATCCCCACCTGACGCTGCATCTGCACTTCCCACCCCCCTCCGCCTGGCCAGAGGTTCCTCGCGGCTCACAAGGCGGTGCACAAGCATACTACGGACCCTTTGTCCCTCCTCCAAGGGCTCCTTGAAGATCCCTCCTATGCATGGTTTTCAAGTCTCTACACCAGCACAGCTTCGTCTTTTCATTCCGTGGCCGTGAACTTCGTGCAGCTCCCTCACGTAGGAGTGCAGGCGTGGTGAAGACGGCATCCGCATGTTAGCGTTTCCGAGGGAGAATATTGCTGAGCGGGCAACACTTGGTGGTCCCTGGACCTAGCTGCCCCTACGGGATCCCAGGTCCCCTCCGTGTGCAGAACCCCAGCCGTGTCATGGCACCAGCTCACTCAAAGTGGTCATTTACTATTGAATAATTTCTAAAAACTCCTGCCATTTACTGAGTACCTCCTGTAACCCATGCACTTTCTTTGCATCATCTCAACCCTTAGGGAGCCCTACCAGATGGTCAAGATCACCTCCACTTTCCAGATGGCCTGTGAACAGGTGTCAGAGGTTGGAACGTCTATGTCCTTAGATCCCATTACCTGGTTTCATCCATAATCCCTTTTTCACTTTCTTGAGGATGTGATAGGCTCAGACAAGTATCTGATGGACCCTGGGCAGGTACTTGGTTACCTATGACAGTGAAAGAGACCTTATCCACAAAAAAGTCTTAAAAATCCAATTCTCCTGCAAATATTTGTTGGAGTTACCATGTGTACCAGAAGCCAATCTGCTTTATAGGGAAAGTAACAATACTGCAACAGCGACCCTACACTTTCTGGCCGTGTTTGGATTTCTTCTCCCTTCAGCTTGAATAGAAGCGGCCATCACCACCCATGTTACATATTCCACAAATACATACTGAGCCCCTTCCATTGGCACTGTTTGCCCTGGGTTGTCGTCCCTGCTGCTCTCCAGCTCCTGGGAGAGCTGCTGACTCTCCTGGGAGCCTGGACCCTTCCCTCCTAATTCTGCTCCTCATTACTCATTTCCTCCACGGGTATCCATTGAGCTCCAAGTATAGGTGAAGCACTGGGCTGAGTGCTAAAGAAATAGTGCTAGGCCTGCCCTTGTGGAGCCTGTAGCCAGGAAGGGGAAACAGATAATGCGTAGACTCCTAACTATCGACCTGAGTCTTCACCAGCGCTGGGAGGAAGGGCTGGGATGCTGTGGCAGTGGAGCAGCCTCAGGCCGTGTGCTCCCTCTGGGCAGCCAGACCACACGCACCTCCATCCACTGCCTGCAATGCCGTGCTGTCTTGGAGTCGCTTCGCCGTTTGTGTTGCTTTTTGAGCCTTTGGGGAAAGCTATGGTTTTTCAATCAGAAGAAAAACATCCGTTGACAGCCTGGGCTCCGAAAGCGCGTGTCTTGTAATCCTGAGTTATTCCCTCGTGGTGCCGTCTAGGTGTGCTTGTCCTCCCGCCCCCATTGAAGGAGATAGAGCAACAGGTGCCAGACTTGCCTGAAACAAACGATCGAGAAGCAGACAGAGCGTGTGACACAATGGTCTTCAAAACACTGGATGGTGTCTTGAAGGGCAGAGAACCCTGAGAGGCTGGGCACAAACGAGATGATGCCTACAATTTTCACAACTTACCATCGTGAGGGACTTTCCGGGCTGTAGCCCTCGAAAACTCCGGGAGTCCAGAACATGGTTCTGGAAGTCAGGGAAAACAAGGATGCCTAGAATTGTCCAAACCGAATAGCCAAGAGGCGGAGCGAGATCTCCAAAGGCTTGCCAGCCTGCTCTGAAAATGTAATTGATTTAAAAAGACAATTGACTTGTTAGAAACACAAAATCAAAAAGAAAGTTACTTAAACTGAAATAGTCACATGCACTCTAGGTGTTATAAAGCTTGATATGCAAAATTAAAATATGTGATAAAATAGCATAAAGGCAGTGGGGGGAAAGCATAAGCCTGCTATGGTAAGATTCTTATGTGAAGGTATTTCAAAAGTTTGTGGAAAATGAAATTTAAAAATACATTTATTGTGCAGAAACTTTTTAACATAATTGTATAGTTTTTTCCATGATATGCTTTTCCATGATCTTTTAAAGACCTTTCATGTACTATAAATCCTAAAGTAACCACTGACATAAAAAGATAACCAGCCAACAAATGACATAAAACAGAAAATGAAAAATACTCCGCTAATTTGAGGAAAGCAGAAAAAGAGGAAAAACAAAACAAGGACAGATTTGACAAATGAAAACCAAATGGCAAAATGATAGTTAAAAACCTTCCCACACACACACAAAAAAAAAACTTGACACCAAGAAGGCTTCACTGGTGAATTGAAGGAAATATTGAAGGAAGGAGCAAATCCAAATTCTTCACACAGCCTGTCAGGGCATGGAAGGGGTTGAAGGGCTTCCCAAATCATTCGAGGTCAGCATTCCCTTGATGCCAATACCTGACTGACAACAAGGAGTAGCCAGTCACTGTGTGTCGTGAATAGAGAGGAAAGATTCTAAAACGTATTGCTCCAATCAATCCAATAATTTATTGGAAAAGTTTGGCACAATCTTAACAAGTGGTGTTTATCCTAGGAATGTATGGTTGATTTGCACAGAAAAACCAATTGATTCAATTTGCCATGTTAACAACTGATAAAAGTAAAACCCTATTATCGTTTCACTAAATGTTATAAAAGCATTTGATAAGATTCAACATCCATTACTGATTTAAAAAAAAAACTTCCATTTTTGAGCCTTTGGGGAAAGCTATGGTTTTTCAATCAGAAGAAAAACAGCCTGGGTCCCGAAAGCACGTGTCTTGTAATCCTTAGTGTTCCCTCATGGTGCCATCTAGGTGTGCTTGTCCTCCTGCCCCCATTGAAGAAGAAGAGAGAGCAACAGGTGCCAGACTTGCCTGAAACAAACGATCAAGAAAAATTAAATAAAATAAAATTCAGCATCCATTACTGATTTTAAAAAAAAAACTTCCATTTTATCAGGAAAAAGGGGAATTTATGCAACCTGACAAAAAACTTCTGTGAAAAAAATCTACCAACATACTTAATGTGAGAGAGGGAGTGCCTTTCCTCTGAGATCAGGAGGTAGACAGAGATATCTGCTCGGACCATTGTGATTCAACATTGCACAGAGGCTTCTAGCCAACGTAACCAGCCCCACACTCACCACAAAATGAGAAAAAGTGAACACCTCTAGACTGAAGAAAATGGCTGAAGGTGTCTCTATCCACGGACAGTGTGATTGTCTACATCAAACAAGAGCTGGAACTGAAGAACGAGGTGAACAGGTTTGCAAGATACAAGATCAGCCTCCAAAAGACCATTGTATCTCTACACACTGTCAACAATTGTACATTTAAAATAAGAATAACGTGTACAATAGCATTGAAAATACGCCATGCGTAGGGATAAATCTGACAAGTGATCTGTACATTGAAACTTAAAAAACATGGCCAAGAAAAACAAAAAGAAGTCTGAGATGAATGGAGAGACAAGCCTTATTCATGGGTTGGAAGTCTCAATAGTATTAGGATATCAATTTCTCCACATTTATTCATGGTTTTATATGCTCTCAATAAAAACTCTAGGAGGATTTTTGTAGAAATTGAAAACTTGATTCTAAAATTTAAATGAAGTAAAAAGGATTTAACGTAGCCAAAAGAAAAAAGAAAAAGAGAGACCAGAATTGAAAGAGTAACACTACCTGATTCCAAAACATATTCTAAAACCATAGTAATCAAAACAGTATAATATTGTCATAAAAAATTAGAAAGACTGGTGGGAAAAACAGGGACTCCAGAAATACGCCCACGCATACATGGACAACTGATTTTTGGCAAAAAATGATTGATCCCAGGAAGACTAGCCTTTCCAACAAATGATTCTGGAACAATTGGTGTATACATATGCAAATACATATATACTTCAATTCCCAGCTCACACCATAGAAAAAACTAAAATGCACAGTAGGCTTAAATATAAAGTGCAAAACTATGAACCTTCTAGAAGAAAACACGGGGAAAAAAACTTTTGTGACTCTGGGTTAACCGAAGCAAAAGCTATAAAAGGACACTTTGATTAATTGGACTTCAAAAAAATTAAACTCTTTTCTTTAAAATATATTGTTAAGAGAATACAAAGGCAGTCACCAAACCAAAAGAAAATATTTGAAAACGTATTTTCAAAATAAAACTTGTATACAGAATGTATAAGAATTCCAGAAAACCAGTAAATAAGAAACAACTGATTTTTTTAAATAGGCAAAAGATTTGAATAGAAAAATCACTGAAAATATAGATGAATGACAAATTAGCACATAAAATATATGCATCATCATTAGTCGTTAGGGCAATATAAATTGAAAACCACAATTACATACCACAGCACCCGAATAAAATGGCTAAAACTAAACAGAACAATTACATCAAGCACAGAGGCTGAAAAAACAAAAATTCCCACGCACTGTTGGTGTGTGTTGGTGGAGATATAAAATGGTGCAACCACTTCACAAGTTTTAAAGTTTCTTAAAAAGTTAAACATTTACCTACATGGATTCAACTCCTAGATATTTATCCATGAAAAATGAAGCCATAAACCCAAAGATTTGCACACGAATGTTCAGAGGAGCTTCATTTGTAATAGCCACAGCCTGGAGATAACCCAAAAGTCCACCATCATGTGAAAGACTGACAAGGTGTGGCAGTGCCCCACAGTGGAATCCAGCAACAAGAAGGAGCAAACTCCTGACGCACGGGACAACATGGCTGAATCTTAAAGTAATTATGCTGGGTGAGAGATGCGAGACAAAAAAAGAACACAAACTTGTGATGCCCTCCCGTGAAACTTCAGAGAACACAAACTTATCTACAGTGAAAGCAGGCAGTGGTTGGGCAGGGAAGAGTTAACGTGGGAGGAGAAGGGGGAAGGATTTAGGGGGGGCAACACAAGGAACTTTTGGAGGGCTGGCTATATTTATTACCTGGACAGTGGCTATGGTTATAAGTCAGAACGTATGTCAGAACTCAATACATTACATGCGTTAAATATGGACGGTGTATGGCATGCCAATTATGCTTGAATCTGTTTAACTGTGTTTGTATTTTTTAAGAAGTCAAATTCATTGGGAAATCATATAGGTCGGGATATGTGTAGTTTCTTCTGTGTATCCCAGGCCTGGGTGTGCAGAAGGTGGCCAACAAGGATCTGATTACTGTCCCCTCTACAGGACAATCGGCCACAGGAAGAAGTCACTGGGCTGGGATGTCTACTGGAACCACTCCTCGGATGGGTGCCTTACTGATGCAGCCCAAGTCACAGGCAGCGAGGGCACTTGGTGTGCTCACTCACTCCTCTGGCCTGCTGGGTCAAGTCAGTTCATTTCCATCTGAAACAGCTGCAGCCCTGCACCATTTCCATCGGAGGCAGAATAAATGGCAGGAAAAGGCAAGATGATCGCGGCCATGATGATGAAGACAATAGCAATGATAATGATGCTAACAGTGCACTATTTACTGCTGGTGGACGCTATATGCCCCAGCGTTCTGTGCTTCATGCCTGTGACTCCCCACCCCCGCCCTAGTGGAAGCTATTACCATCCTGCTGTGGGGGTTGAGAGCCCCGCCTGGCCTCAGAGAGACCCTAGGCTAGACTTTGTCCAGGTTCTTGTCTTCCTGCATGTAAGATACAACCAGGAGATGTAGACAGAGGTGAGAAGAAAGGCAGAATTTATTGACATGAGTGCAAGCAGGAGAGAATTGCCCTGGGGTCAGCCTTTTATAGGGCAGGGGGTGCTGTAGGTGCAAAGGAGGCAGGATTTGGGGGAGGGGCTTCAGCACACTTGGTGGTCTCCAGGGAGGTGTCAGGGCAGCAGGAGCATGATGGAAGGTGAGGTTTAGTGGCATGATGAAGAGTGGGTGAGCCGAGCCACGTTGCATCCGCGTGGAAGCTGTTGGGATTTGGGTGGTGCACATAGTGTGGGTGTTGGCAGTCCTTGGCTCCTTGGACTCCATGCCTCATCCACATCAATCCCATCTCAGAGTGGGAGAACTAAGACATGCTGAGTAACAGACCCATGCAGCTAACACTTCGTGGGGCTACACCTTGAACCCATGTCTCTCTGATTCCAGAGCCTTCGCTCCCACTACACTGTCCCCAGTCCTGGACCAACATATGTGTGTGGGCACAGGCATGTCTCTACCTGACACACAGGAAAGGACCACACAAACCAATGCATGCACTCAACCACTGTATACAAGTATGCAGGCACACATTTGAACACATGCATACAAAATCACCATATATATACATATAGAAATGCATGAGCTCAAATCTCCCCTGAACACACTCACACACACACACACACTGAAATATACAGCCAAACACACACAGCTGCGCGTGCACATAAACGCAGGCACACACTTAGGGCACCCCGGGAATGTACCTGCCACCCCTCTGCTTCTGGCTTCTCACAGGCAGTGACCATTGCTTCTCACAGCCAGCGCCTCCCCTCCCCCGCCCCTGCCAGCCCAGGTCCCAGGGACCTTCAGGACACGGCACTCCTAATTCTAAAGGGAAATGATGCTCGGGACCCTGACCTGGGGACGGCACACAAGTCAGGCCGATCAGATGCCCCCGTTTTCCCATGGAAGCAATCTCTGACAGGTTATTAACCTTTGGAGACGCGAGCTCAGTCCCAAGGACTGTCCGAGTCCAGATCGGACTGAAAAATAACCTCCTGACAGACCACCCGGTTCTGGGCCGACGGAAATTACTTTCAACGCCGGCCAGCGTGTCCCTCAGACAAAACGTCTCACATACCAAGCCGGCGCTGTGGAGCAGGGAGCCAAGTGTCATCCATTACAGACGACGTCGCTGACGGCCAGAACATGGGGCGCTGGCCCGGGGCTGAGTCGCTGTGGGAGCAGCCGGGGGTGGCAGGAAGGAGCCAGCCCCTGTGCCTTTGATGTTGACGTCCCTGTGCTAAGAGGGGTCAGTCATCTCAGCCAGGACAGCCTTGGTCTCTGGTGATTGCCTTGTGGTTTGAGCGTTCGGTTTGGGGTACGCTCGAACTTTAGTGGATGCTGTCAGAAGAAAGGAAACAGTGTCCGGCGGAGGCTACAGATCAGCTGATAACTCCAGGGCTGGAGGAACTGACTCATCCACCCCCACCCTCTCCTGGTGGCGCGCCGACTCCCTCTTGCTCTCCTTTGGGTCACATCCTGGCGCGCAAGACCGACCAGCGGATTCCCGCGAGTCTCAAGGGTTTCCTTCACCCCGTGGGACACATACAAACCCGAGCTCTCCCACCATACCTCTTGCCAGGGGCCCCAGAGTTTGGTCCTGTCCCTGCATGGAATAAGTGACTGGTGCTGGACAAAACCCTTAACTCTGACGCTTTGGCTTGTGCGCAGAGAGATGGGAACATGGCGCTGAGACAGACCTCTGCATCTTAACCTGTACCCTAGGTCCTTGGCCCCTTAGAGATCAGGATTCAAAGCAGAAGCATCCACACAGTGTACAAATGAGCGCAGGGTTTATTTAAAGGGGAGCACCCCACTTGGGGAGGTATCAGTCGTGAGTGGGCCAGAGAGATGCCTGTGAAGAGAGAGGAGGAAGCCGGAGGAGGGCATGTGAGCAGAGTTCTGAAGCCCAGGATAAACCAAGGGCCTCTCCCTCGTCATCAGTCTCTTTCCTGAGACGGGGAATGGTGCCCTAACTGAATATATGGACTGGCTACAGTTTAGAGTGCTTGAGACTTTCTGGGGGGCTCATGGCACCTGCTTGTGGGGTTTTGCTTCCACATGGCCATCATGGCATATCCACCTTCCTGGTCCCGAATGAGACACACGTGTATCATGGGAGAGCAGGTGTACAAGACTGGCAGGTAAGGGAGTGGAATTACAATGCAGAGCTGGTAGAAATTCCAAGTCGCCTTCTCCTACCTAACCCCCTGCCTGCTTCCCCCGTATCGGGCACCTGCCCTGCCATTCGCCATGATGGCCGCGGGGGCTAATGGGCAGGCAGCGCTCGAGAGAGAGGCAAGGGGCTGCGCTGGGTCACTTCCTCCAGAACCCCCATCATTGTTCAAGGCTTTCCTGCTCACACGGCCTTGCACAGGCTCCGAGGCCTGCCTTCCTGTTTTCCCTCTTCCTCTGGAATGATCGGAAGAGCCTGCTGGCTACCAGCTGCCAGCTCCTCTCCGGCAGCGCTGGCCGCCATGCCACACGGGCGGGCTGCAAGTCTGTCTCAGCACATACTCATGCCAGTAGCGCCCAGCGCATCCCGGCAGCTCCTCAGCCAATGACATTGCTTCCTGTTCCTCAGGAAAAGAGAGGCAGCGAGGCAGGAAGGACCCCCGATTCCACCTGTATCCTCAAACTCATCTCACTCACGCCGTCTTCAGCTGCCTGCCTCCTGTACCAAAGCCCTTTCTCATCGACTGCCAATGTCTTTGCTCAGGATTTCATCCCCTGGCGTTTCCCTGGGATCTCCATCACCACTTGTCCCTTCTCTTTTTTGTTTTGCAATTTTACTTCAGGTATACAAGTTCAATGTGTTTCATATATACAGAATTATGAACATAGCGATACTTCCCTCCCTACCCTTCCTCCCGCCCACACGCCCACCCTTCTTCCTCCTCCCTCTCCTAGTCCCACTCTTAATTTTTACAAAGATCTATTTTCAGTTTACTTTATACTCATAAGATGAACTCTACACTAAGTAAACAATACAACAAATAGTATTTCTCCTGGAGTCTTTACTCTTTCTTGTTGTAAAGATTTATTTACTTATTTGAAAGGTAGAGTCAGAGAGAGAGAAGGAGAGACAGAGAGAGACTTTCCATCCACTGGCATGCTCCCCACTCCCCAGATGGCTGCAGTGGCCAGGCCTGGGCCAGGAGCCAGGAGCCAGGAATTTCATCTGGGTCTCCCACACTTGGGCCATCTCTGCTGCTTTCCCAGACCATTGGCAGGGAGCTGCATCAGGAGTGGAGCAGCCAAGACATGGAGTAGTGCCCATAGGGGATGCCGGCAATGCAGACGGTGTCTTTACCTGTTATGCCACAATGCTGTCCTGGAGTCTCTATTCTTTCCCTTGCTACAGGCCCCTTTTCCATACATAAAGAGGCCTTGACAATGGAATGTGTGTCTGTCAGAACAGGTGTGTGTGTGTGTGTGTGTGTGTGTGTGTGTGGCGGGGGGGATTCAGAACAGAGACAGGAGGAAAAACCTCTGGTGAAGACAAAAAATGGGCCAACGGGGCCCTGAGGGAAGGCTGCAGGCCCTGTACTAAAGGGTCAAGGGTGTTGCTGGAAACAGCAGGGGTTCTTGGGTTGTCTGGCCCGTCATGTTCTCCCTTGGGACCCCATTCTCTCTTTATCCCTCTCCCTGACTTCTAGGTCACACCCCCACTGGGCGGGCGGAGTCAGATGGGCTAATAGGCGGTACAGTTCAGGAAGGTGGCTGCAAGTTAGGGGAAGAAGACGCCCGCTCATTCCTGGGGCTTCATCAGGAGGGTGTGTGAAGAACCGGGTCTCTATCAGAGATAAGCCCGGAGCTGTGCCTCTGGCGCTGGGGATGAGCAGAGACCTGTCGCTTGCTGGTGGGACAATACTTTCTATTCCTGCTTCTTGGCTGGTTGTTATCCCTTCCTTCACAGACCAATCCAAGTGTAAGCTTCCATGACCCTTTCTGCCCTGCCAGTTGGACACAATTTCAGTCCTTTAAACTAGCCAATCAAAGAGCAAGAGGGTCTTTAATTTCCTTTAAACTAGCCAATCAGAAAGCAAGACGGTCTTTTTTCGCTCCACTTTGTGTGATACGAGCCTCACTTGCAAGCTCCTTGGGCAACTCGCTCCCTCCTCACTGCGACATCCGGAGACGCCCTGCTTACAATAAAACTGCTTTGCTCCCTATCATTGTCCACGTGGAAATCCTTCTGCACTGTGGGACAAGAATCGACATCCTCCTCCTTCTATAACACCATCTTGAATTTTACAAGCTCAGGCAAGATCCTAACCCTGTTAAGCCACTGTCAGTTGGGTAATTGAGAAATCATTTATGATAGTTTTTAAAATATGCATTTATTTTGAAAGTGTTAGAGAGAGAGGCAGAGACAGAGACAGGGACACAGAGATCTTTCACCAGCTGGTTCACTCCCCAGATGGCTGCAATGGCCATGGATGGGCCAGGCCGGAGCGAGGAGCCAAGAGCCAGGAATCAGGAGCTTCAGCCAGGTCTCCTACGTGGGTTCAGGGCCCCAAACACTTGGGCCATTTCCCACTGCTTTCCACTGCAAACTGCTTTTCCTTCAAGGTCTGCAAGGTACTCACTGTCATTTTACCAATTTTGCAGTGAGGACCAAGGCTCTGGGAGGTGGGGGCTCTGCTCCAGGCTGAGCCCAGAGGGGTGGTTACTGCCTGTCGGCAGAACTCACTGCAGCTGAGTGCAGGTTAGTGCGAGGCAAACGGGAGGTTCTCCGGCCAGGATGTCGTCTTCCTCCACTTCGCTCCCTACTGAGGTGCCCATCTCAGCTTCTGAAGATCTGCTCCATTTTCCTGCCTTCTTTTTTTTTTTTAAAGATTTATTTATTTGTTTAGAGGTAGAGTTACAGACAGAGAGAAAGATCTTCCATCCACTGGTTCACTCCCCAGATGGCCCCAACTGCCCACGCTGGGCTGATCCGACCCCAGGTGCCAGGAGCTTCTTCCAGGTCTCCCACCTGGGTGCACTTGGGCCCTCTTCCACTGCATCAGCAAAGAGCCGGATGGGAAGAGGAGCAGCCGGGACTCAAACTGGCAGCCGTATGGGATTCTGGTGCCACAGGTAGAGGCTCAGCCCATCACGCCACAGCACTGGCCCCTTTCCTGCTTTTCTTACGAACTGGCTTTTCCTGCTCTCCCATCAGTGAGCACATTGCCAAAAAAATAAAAACAAAAATATAAAAATATAAAATATAAAAGGGCTGCTTTAGCCCAAACTCTCACTAAACTTGTTAACTTAAAGCTGCCACTTTCATCCAAGAGGGTCCTTCATAAAGGCCATGGGTAAATGGAACTGAAGATAAGTATTTTGGTGCAAATTTTGTGGAAATTCATATATGTGTGTGTGTGTGTGTATAGTTTGAATTGCTGAGAGAAAATGTTTGGTGCCTGCTCAGCTAGAGTAGGCTGAAAAATGCCCATCTCTCTCCCCGCTTCCCCAAAGGTAATTACCTTCTTTTTTTAAAAAATTTTTTTATTTGATAGGTAGAATTATAGACAGTGAAAGAGAAACAGAGAGAAAGGTCTTCCTTCTGTTGGTTCACTCCCCAAATAGCCTGTACAGCCAGCGCTGCGCCGATCCAAAGCCAGGAGCCAGGTGCTTCCTCCTGGTCTCCCATGCGGGTGCAGGGCCCAAGCACTTGGGCCATCTTCTACTGCTTTCATAGCAGAGAGCTGGATCAGAAGAGAAGCAGCCAGGACTCGAACCGGCACCCATGTGGGATGCTGGCACTGCAGGCGGTGGCTTTACTCATATGTCACAGTGCCAGCCTCTCTTTTTTCTTAATTTATTTGAGAGGGAGAACGAACGCTCCCCTATTAGCTGGGTCATTTCCCAAATGCCTGCAATGACTAGATCTGGACAAGGGCCAAAGTCGAGACTGAGAATGCTCTCCAGGTCGCCCATGCGGGTGGCAGAAATGCAATTACTTGAGCCGTGATGCTGCTCCGGGGTCTGCATCGACGGGGAGCTGGAGCTGGGAAGTGAACCGAGGTGCTCTGAGATGGGATGGGGAGTCGACACTGCTGAGCTAAGTGCCTGCTCCGTTTCTGTGACGCCATGCAATTTGTGGTGATTGTTACAACAGCCACAGGATACTACTATAGCGGGTCCATGCGGGTTGTATTAAGTGTCTACCCAATCAGCTGTGTCAGGGAGGGGTTGTTTATTGGAAAAACATAGCCATTGACAGCTCGCTCTCTGCAGGGGCTATGGAAGGGGAGCAGATCATCCGCTCTCAGAGAAAAGGCACAGGCTGGGAGACAGCTGCATGCATCCCACTCCTGTCACGCAGGAGTGTAGGAAGAGTTGGGGAGCACAGGGCTCTGTTCAGGCCTGGCTCAGTGCTGAGCCTAGGGCTTCCCCCTTCCCTACCCACATAGGAAATGAGCTCTTAATTGGCATGGGGGCGGGCCAGGTTAGCAGGTGAATCTGTCTAGCTAATTCAATTGTTAACAACCTTCTTCTGCCACACCTTGGTAAGTGCTTCACAGGAACCAACCTACAGTCTGGGGAAGACCAAGAGCTGGGCCACCGGAAAGAACATAACAGAAGCACTTAATCGTCCAACAAATGTTTGCTGTGCACTCAGAGGTACCAGGCTATTACAATACTATAGTAAAATGTGTAGAGTCATTTTCTCCATTGGGTGAGGAACATAAGCAGATAAGTGATAAAAATAATCAAAAATTGTGAAAAGGCACATGAAGGGAGGAATTAAGTTATGAGAGGATGAGGTATATAAAATTGGTGGGTGGTCGTCAAAGCTCACAATCAGAAATTGGTTTTGGGAAAGTTTATAAGGATTTAAACCTGGCGATAGGAGAAAAGGCTTGGGCAGGAAGTGGATGTTGATTATTAAGAACGATGGAAAAAAGGCATCTATGCGGAAAGGTTATAAGCCTTAACCTTAGCTCTTCAGAATAGGGCAGGACAGGAACACCCACGTCCTCGCTCCCACCCAAACTACATTTCCCAGAATGCAGAAAGGGAGCGTGACCCGGAAGTTCCTCCCATCCGCTTCCGGTCGCTTGGAGCCTCCTAATCATGGCGAACCTTAGAACTCCTGTGTCGCTATGGCCCCTTGTGATAGGTCCGTGCGGCCCGAAGCGGGCTTATTTCAGGGCCCGAACCCAGCCCCGGCCTGGTGCCCTGCTCCAGCCACTGCCCCGGCCCTTCGAGGTGGGTCTGCCGCGCCGCCTGCTCACGTCCGAGGCCGGTAAGTGACCTGCTGGACGTTCGCTGGGACGTTTCCCTGGGAGACGTGGAACGTGCTTCTGGCTCTTTGCTCAGCGCGTCCTCAGACCCGCCGGGTGGGTCATCACCTGCGTTTGATCGTTCGCTCACTCAGCCACGGTGCCTGCGCTCTGCTCCTTGCCAAGCCCTAGGCTAGGCTGGGGGGCACGGCGACGAAGACTGGCCTGGGGTTTTCCCTGAGGTAGTGGTGGGCCCCGGGGAACTGGCAGTGCGTGTGACTCGCGCCGTGACATCCGCGCCAGGCTGGGCTGGATGGGTGGGGAAGGATGGTTGGAAAATACGACCACAGCCGAGACGTGGTTGTCACGGCCGCGGTGATGGCGGAAGCGAAAAGGCCAGAGGTGATAACGCAACCCACGTAGTACTTTTGGAAATTGATTTTGGAGGTAGGACTGTGAAGCCGTGGTCATGGCTTGGGGTCTAGTTTTCAAAGGAAAAAAACAATTGAGGGGAGGTTAGCCCCGTGAATGCTGAGATGGAGGGGATTAATTAAGGGCGGTTTTTGGTAGGGGGTGGATGAAGCGAAGAGGTAGAAGTAAATCTTGGGTTGGGACATACTAAGTTTGTGGCGCTTTTGAAATTCAAGCGTTCAGTTAGCAGTGAGCTAGAAACCAGGGGACATGGGGGGCGGGGGAGGGGAACGGCCCCGACGCTGGCCGAGTGGGTGAGATGGAGGCCGAGAGTGGTGCCGAGCGCCTGCCCCGAGCTGGAGCCTCTGCGGGACCTGTGGAAGACAGGTGTGGCCCTCAGAGCAGGTGGCCTAGTGCTGGTCTCTGTAGTGAAGTGAGCTGACTGGTCTGGACGAGGGTAATCGCAGGAGAAATGGAGGCTTAGAGAGATTGATGAGGTGTCAGTGTCTCATGTATAGAAATAGGGGTAATCCTGTTTACCTCGTGGGGTGTTGTGCTGAGTACGTAAGGTCGTTAGTCGGTACTGGCACGTGGTAGATACCCAGTAAATGAGCTGCTGTCACTACTGCCTGGGCTGGGTGTGGCAGATGAGGGAGAAGTTAAGGACGACTGGGTCCCGGCCGGCGCTGAGCTGGGGACCAGTAGGAGAAGCAGGTGTGAGACGAGGAGGGTGCTGGGTTCTGATGTGGCAGTGTTGGAGGGCCGGTGGGGTGGCCGCTGGCTCATGGCTGGCGATTGAGATTTTCCGATCTCCCGCATAGAAAGGTGATTAAAGTCCTGGGAGGCCACGAGACCACCCAGCGAGAGTGAGAGGGTTGAAGAGAAAGTACGTGGTTCAGAATCCTGCGGGACCCCAGTGCCCACGGGGCTAGTGGAGGAAGGGGGGAGTGGGAGCAGATGGCCTTTTCTTTGTTCCTAACGGCAGTGGAGGTGGGAGTTGGGAAGACTGAAGCGGAGCTGAGATTTTCAGTCCCCTCTCCTGTTCACGGCTTTCCTATGACACCACGTGGGCCTTCAGCTTGTGTCTGGTGCAACCCTGCAGCCTAGAATCTCGTCCCCTCTTTCTCTGCCCTGTTGAAGCCCAGGTGGCAGGGAAGGCAGCTGGGGCCCTGGCGTGCCCTTCCTACTCCCAGGCTGTGTCAGTACCTCGTCTGCAGCCATGCAGCCATGCAGCCCCAGGCCTCCTTGTGTGGCGCATTCCAGTGAGGAGCGCTATTGGAAACCATCTCGAGTCTAGAACCAGAGAAAGCTAGGTTTGAATCCTGGCTCCGTCGCTGACCAGCCAGTTCTGAGTAGGCTCAGCAGCATGTGTAGACCCGGACAGCAACACACATTTTGGGGTTGCTCAGAGCATTCCTAAAGGTGCGTGTTGGGCCTGGCGTGCAGGAGACAGCTGTGTGGTCGTCATCACTTTTCTTCCCGTTGCTTCCTCTAGCGAGCTTTCCAGCAGAGTCTGTGTCTCTATCCTTATAGTGAGCGCTCGGCAAATTGTAGGGGAAGCTGGCGAGTGGAATTGTTACCATTATGCAGCGCCGGGGTAGACATTGTGCTGACGGTTTTCTTGTCGACTTTTCCACTTAGAGGTCTTGCTTGTCACTTTTTGCTTGACTTCTTATGTGCTAAAACCCACTTTCACAGAACCTGGCAGCTCAGCGCTGAAGAAACCTACATTTATGGATGAGGAAGTCCAAAGCATACTCATCAAGATGACAGGCTTGAACTTGGAGAAGACTTTTAAGCCAGCTGTACAAGAACTGAAGCCGCCCACCTATAAGTTAATGACGCAGGCGCAGTTGGAAGAGGTGTGCGGATGTGGGAATACCGGGGGGTACCTCGTTTCCCGAGCTAAACGTGATTTCCAGGGGCCTCTGCAGATGCTTAGAGCTGCTTTGCCATGGGCGCCAGTGAGGGGAGCAGCAGGCGCGGAGATGTGTGGGTCAGGTGAGGATCGGCGGGAGGGAGCAGGGACCTGGCTGGAGTCGAATAGACTGCGGCGCAAGGCTTAAGCCTGGGCGGCCAAGTGGAACCCCACAGCTGCCCTCGCAGCGGCCCGAGCACCCTTCCTCTGCCTGCCTGCCCGGCTTCCTTCTAGGGAAACTGTGCTGTGCGTGTCTGGGGGCTGAAGCTTTGTGGAGACGGCGAGCTCCTGTTGAACAGCCTCCGCCTGCAGGCCCCCGGCCGTGGATACCCAGCCTGCGGGAGCGCTTTGAGCAGCTTCTGCCTGGCTGTCTCCGTGCAGTCCTCTGCGGTTTTGATCGTGGTTGAACCTGTAGGTGGCGCCGTCAGCCTCACGGCGCTGAAGAACAGGGCCGGGCTCCCAGTTTGGCTTTTCATTCACTGATTCATGTCTGCAGCTTTTGTCATGCCTATAACTTTTTTCTTTGTGGTCTTCAGCATTTTTTAATTACTACATCCTTTTGTCGGATGATCTTGGTCGGTCACCTTAGGACTTTGTTTAGGATGCTGCATTTTGTCTCATTAGGCTACAAGAAAGGCAGTAGAGGCAGCTAAAATACGACTGAAAATGCCGCCGGTTCTAGAAGAACGAGTGCCCATAAATGATGTGTTGGCTGAAGATAAGATTTTGGAAGGAACAGAAACGGCCAAATACGTGTTTACTGACATATCCTACAGCATACCGCACCGCGTGAGTATATCTGACTGCAGGACGGCTTTTGTTGGAAATGCCACGTGGAGATGGGCCTGGGGATGCAGGGACCTGGCTGTGTCTGCAGCTCCGGGAGACCCTTCTGGAAGGAACAGTGTCAGAGATGGGAAGTGCAGGCAGGCCTCAGGCCATCGTCGCCACTCCCTGCAGAGCGCGCCCACAGGGCGAGCCAACCGACTGCAGGGAGGCGCACAGTGTGCTGGGGCGGGCCCAGGGGTATCAGACAGGCAGGGGACCCCCCCACCCACCCACATACACACACCACCACGGCCACAGGGAGGCACAGATATACAAGGCAATGGGAGAGGGATCTTATTTTACCTAAGCCTGATTTCCTACCGGAAACTTGCTAAGAAGGTGGAGTCTTTATTTTTTTATTTAAGGTTTTATTTGAGAGGTGGAGTTACAGAGGCGGAGAGGTCTTCATCCGCTGGTTCACTCCCCAGATGGCTGTAACAGCCGGAGTTGGGCCTATTCAAAGCCAGAAACTTCTTCCAGGTCTCCCACATGGCACTTGGGCCATCCTCCACTGCTTTCCCAGGCCATAGCAGAGAGCTGGATTGGAAGAGGAGCCGCCAGGACTCAAACTAGCACCTGTATGGGATGCTGGTGCTGCAGACAGAGGCTTAGCCTACCACGCCATAGTGCTGGCCCTCCAGATGGAGTGTCTTGATCCTGAAAATTCCTTGATGATGCCAAGAGACTCAGGCTTCACCCAGGATTTCATTTTCTAGAATTTTCAGTAAGAATGACCGTTGTTTCTCAGACAACTTTCAGGTGTCACTACTTCTTGGTTGTTGCCAGTCTCTGGCTCTTCTTCCCCTTTGTCAGTTTAAAAGAACACCCTGCACCTTAACAATGGATCTCAGCCTTTACGAGTAAAGAGAGTTTGCAGTTCAGCTCACCGAATGTATTAGAATGCTGCAGAATGCTGAGCTGAGTTTAGAGGAGGGCCGCAAAACGTGCATGGGACCAGCACTGGCGCACAGGGGACTCCGTCTCCACCTGCGCTGCCGGCGTCCCACATGGGTGCTAGTATCCCAAAGTCCTGGCTGCTGCTCTTCCGATGGAGAAGACGGTCCAAGTGCTTGGGGGCCCTGCCTCCCATGTGGGAGACCTGGAAGAAGTTCTTGGCTTTGGATTGGCCCAGTTCCAGCCATTGTGGCCATCTGGGAAGTGAACCAGCAGATGGAAGACCTCTTTCTGTCTCTCCCTCTGTCTGTAACTCTGCCTCAAATAAAATTCTTTTTTTTTTTTTAAAAAAAAGACATCCATGTCCATACACCAGTCACTTGCGTAACTGATGAAATGAACAGCGTTTAGTTTCCATCTGAATTTGCATTTTTGTTTTGTGAATAAACGTTTTCCGTGCTTTGAAGGCTGATCGTAGCAGCATCTTAATCGCTTGAAAGGGAGACAGGAACATGAATTCATGTTCAAATTATCAAATCTGAGGAAAAACTTTTTTTGGTCTGTTTTTCCCCCTGTATTTGCTTGTATTTTATCCTCAGAACATATTCAGACTTGTACACCTTTGAAAAGTTGAGAATCGATACCATCTGATTTGTATATTACTCAGGTGAGCATCATTTGTCAGCAATGTGCAGAGCTCCGTGTCTGTCCCTCGGTGTTGCAAAGGACTACAGTCCCATGTCCTGTCTTGGTCCAGTTACGTACTACCTGAGAGCTGTCAAATCTGGCACACGATAAATCACAGTCTGGCCCAGTAGCAGATGGAGTTCTGAGGAACGCACAGCCCCCTGGCCCAGGATGCGGCGGTTGGAAGAGAAGTGGTCAGAGGCAGGTGGACCGGTCAGGGTCTCTGTCGTGACCATGCCTAATGCCCATAAGAGAAATCGGAGGTGCAGAATTCTACATCGTTGGCCTTGTGCTTTTTTCCTCAAGGATTTGAAACAGATCGTAAAGTAGGAAAACCTGTTGAGACTTTGGCATGAAGAAGGGCAACAGTTTGAAAAGCTCTTACGACACATCTTTCCTTTAAAATGGACTCAGTGAATCTCGCATCAGCTTTTTTTCCTTTCCCCCAGTTGAACCATTTTACGTATTGAACTCACGTTAGCTCCTTGTTACCAAATGACATCACGTGAGAGCTCGGATTGTTCGGTATCCAGCAGTGAGGGTGAGAGGCCTCAGGCCTTGCCGGGTGTTGGAGGCTTGGGACCACCAGGCTCTCGTGGGCTTGATTACGTTTCGCTTCCCTGATGCATTTTGTATTGTTGACTGAAGACTGTTTGATGGTCTTAGTGGGTGGGACGCAGGGACTAAAAACAAGTCTTCATAAACTCAGCTTGGCTAACTCTGTATTTCAGGAGCGTTTCATTGTCGTCAGAGAACCAAGTGGCAGACTACGCAAAGCCTCTTGGGAAGAACGGGATCGGATGATACAAGTGTATTTCCCAAAAGAAGGTCGAAGAGTTTTGCCACCAATAATTTTCAAGGAAGAAAATCTTAAGGTAATATGACTTGGGTTTTATATATTCCAGGGTCAGTGGTGCTAATGTCTTTGTAGAAGCTGTTGGCTCTGGCACTGCTTGGCATTTGGCATTGGCAGAGGTAGGTGAACACAGCTGGTGGTAACCTGATTAGGATCCCCCCTCTCGGAAGTGGCTTAGCTGGGATCTGAATGCAGGTGTAACAAGCCTGAGCTGTTTCTCTGGGTCTCTTGATGGGCACAGACGTGGCCCGAATGTGGAGGGGCAGGATCTTCAAGGGGACGGGACCGGTCGCATCTGATTCCCACTCTGCCGTGCGGTTTTAGACCATGTATGGCCAGGACCGGCATGTGGACGTCCTCAATCTCTGCGTTGCCCAGTTTGAGCCAGATTCCACGGAGTACATCAAGGTGAGCGCACTTTACAGTTTCTATAACGGGCTTCTGTGTGACTAAGGTTGCTCGTCTGGACAGTGAGTTTGATTGTAAGCTTTGCTACAGAGAGGGGAAGGGAACTATCTGCAAGTCTGAGTCCCAGTGTGTGCAGGTGTCTGTTGTATCCTGGCCATCGCCCTTCGGGCTGAGGGAACCGAAGCTGGACAGGGAAGTGGCCTGCTGAGAGCTGTGTGCCTAGATGTGGTAGGGATTAGGATGCAAACTTGACAAAACCTGTTCTCTTATCAGCAATGCTATGTGGGAACAAGATCGCTTACTCAACATCTGCTAGAGGGCAGTGTGTGTGTCTAGCAAGTCACTTGTGTGCCTGACGTATTACCAAAGGTGGATAGGTGCTACCATGAATGAGGCTGGTGTGTGTCAAGGCCTGCAGTCCAGAAAAGACGGTGGGGAAGGATGCTGGCTAAGCTGACGGGTAGTTACCATCATAGATCTAACATGTTAGATGTTAATAGCAGCTTACAAAGTGCTCATGGGAGAATCCTCATCGGGCCTTCAGGTTCTAGAGGGCGGGGAGTGTTGCGGCAGGTGGAGGTGGGTGAGGAGAGCTGTCTCGGCTAGAGATTGCTCAGTGAGCAACAGGCAGGAGAAATGACTGGTCACCTGGCTGGCTCGTACATGCACTCTGCGTGCAGGGGAGCGGTGGGAGATGAAGCTGGAAAGGTGGGTGGAACCACAGCATGTGACCTCAGAGGCCGGGCTGAGGACTCCCGAGAGAGCGCTGAGGGGACATCAGTTAAGAGGACGGAATGGGCTAGCTGATGAGACGGAGTAGGGCACACGGGAAGGAGTAGAAAATACTCGATTTCTTTTCTACCCTAGTGACCACAGAATAATGGTACATTATTTCTGATAGTCTACAAATATGAAATAGGTGTCTAATAAATAATCCTTGGCTGCAGAAAACCAGTTGATGTGGCTGTGTTTGCCAGAACTCACTACAGGCTGCCACAATACTTCCACGATGGACAGTGGCACCCATTTGCTATCCTAAAGACCAACTCATCTTAACAAATTGTAGGGGTGTTCTACATTGGACCTATAGGGTAAAACTAGTGGACACAGCTGCAGGTAGACCTGGGTTTTTTTTGTTTTGTTTTGTTTTTTTTCCCCACCCTTTGGCAGCACTCAGTTTATTTCATGTTTCTAAAGAGTTGCATTTTATGCGGATAGGTTCATCACCAGACCTATGAAGATATAGACAAACATGGAAAGTACGACCTTCTACGCTCAACGAGGCACTTTGGTGGAATGGCTTGGTATTTTGTAAATAAGAAAAAGATTGATGGTTTGCTGATCGACCAGATTCAGAGAGATCTGTAAGTATGATCTTAGCAGTTATAAAAGAAACGTTCTTATTGCCCTAATGGGAAAGTCTGTTTTAGATATGATATTTTTACAATAGCTATACTATCCAATGATCATTGAAGCTTCACTTACTGTCTGGGTTTATTCTTCTAGCATAACCAGGTTTCCCAGTCTTTGCTTTTTCTTGTTATGATTTGAAAGGCAGAGTCAGAGAGAGGGAGAGACAGAGATCCCATCAGCTGTTTCACTCCCCTAAATAGCCACAACAGCCAAGGCTGGGCCAGGCTGAAATCAGGATCCTGGGCCTCCATCTGTGTCTCCCACATGGGTGGCAGGAGCCCAAGTACTTGGCCATCTCCTGCTGCTTTCCATGTACAGTAGCAGGGAGCCGCATTGGAAGCCGAGGAGCTGGCGCTCATGTGGGTTGCTGGTATTGGAGGGGGCAGCTTTACCCTCTGCATACAATGCCTGTCCCTAGTCTTTGCTTCTGAGGCATAAACAGGGCTAGAGCCTTTGAAAGAGTAAGTGGCCTTGGTCTGTATTGTGTACTCTGAATATCGACTTATCCCGGGCTTGCCAGTGCTGCTGGGTATCGGTGGACTTTCCGGATACTCCGAGGGGGATTAGATAGGAAATGTAAAGGAGCGTAAATGCTGGTGGGTGCTTGTTTTCTGGAAGAACTATTTCTAGGGCTTTCTAGTAAAAGCTATCATTTACCTTATAAAGGCACTTTTGTTTTTGCTGTCTTTGACTTTGTGGCCTTCATAGTTAGGTGAATGGCCTGAAGTAGTATCTGCTGTATTCTGGCATCCAGCGGCCATGCTCCCAGGTTTCTGGCTGGGAATAACAAGCTTACTGAGTGCCCTTGCACTTGGCTTTGTTGTGCTTCACACACAATGAAGGTTAGTGGCAGGCATGCATTGGGCACGTCTGCTGGTGCTGTTTCTCAGGTGCTTAGCATATTTGAGCAAAGTATGTAAGGTATGTACGCTGTTTCGACATACTGTGTTGTGCACCTAATAGACAATAGCATAGCTTTTATTTGCACTGAGAAACCAAGCAGTCGGTGTGATTGACTTGATCACGATGCTTGCTGTATTGTGGCAGTCTAGAATAGAACCTGCATGTCTGAGGTATGCCTGGAATGTTCTGTTTGATAAATGAGAACATTGTGTTGGGTTGCGAAGGCCAAAATAACTATGGCATGGCTCTGGTAAGAAAGTCAACTTCCCACACGAAGCCCTTGCTGGGCGCACAGGGTTTCGTGATCATTGCTAGCATCAGACTGGTTAACAGTTGTAGCTGACAGCATCCTATGTGTAATCCGAGCCATAGGACAGAGGTGACACATTGGGAAGTCAGGGTTCCACACGTTTTGCAAAACAGGTGCAGCCCACGTGGGGAAACAGCAAACCCTCCTCAGACACGGCACTGTCCCTGGTGGCGGTCTCTGGGCCAGCCCACCTCCCCACGACATGCTGTGCAATCTGATCTGAAGCAAAATCCACCTTCGTCCCAAGGGGTGGGTGACGGAGGGGCCTTCTTGTGCATTAGCAGTGGTGAACTGTCTGCCTAAGTTTCTCAAATGTAATCATTCTGTGCTACGTTCTAATAAGTTTAAAAATGGAAGTGCACTGAGGTGCGCTAGTGTGTGGTCTTAGTGTTGCCGTTTTATGTCAGCTTGGCCTCTGGAGCAGCTTGTACTGGGGGAGAGGTACTTGCTACACCTTCCCTGCTGTGCAAAGGCAGGTGCCCTTCTGTGATGCAAATGAACTGCAAAGCTGGGGCTGGGCAGTAGAGGGTGCACCTCCCCCCGAAGGGGGCCCAGGCCACAATTAGGATTCCGCACACATTCACCTGACTCCGGTCCCACTGGTGGTATTTATGTAAGATGCTTTCAGAATCTCATAGAAAGTGTAACTTGATTCACTTCAAGTATGTGTCAGATGTTAAAACTTGTTTGAAACATTATATTTTAACATGAACTTAATGAAACCCTAATATAAATCTATTATGTAGAAACCTAGTTATTTAAATAGGGCCACCTGCCTAATCTCTGAATTCTTTTTATCTTTTATTTTGGGGGAGATATTGTGTTGCGATGTTGTTAGAGTATGGCAAACACAATAGATTGGTAATGATCATGTAAAAAGATTTGAAAGGTAGAGTTTGCTGGTTCACCCTCCAGGTGGCCACAGCAGCCAGGCCTGGGCAAGGGTGAAGCCGGGAGCCTGGAGTTCCTGGGGGTCTCCACGTGGGTGGCAGGGGCCAAGTACGGGGAGCATCTCCTGCTTTCCATGCACATTAGCAGGGAGCTGGCAGCCTAAGCTGCTGTGCCACAGTGTCAGCCCCTGTCATGACCATTTTTGATCCTCTTATTCCCCATAAAAACAGCTTCTGCATGAACACTTCCAGTTCCTGTTTTCCGAAGAGCTGGCCTTTGGAGTAGATGGGCCTTAGGATAAGCCCGGAGCATTGCTCCAAGGCCATCGCTTGGAGGCCTTGAGTTGTTCTGTTCTCCCCAGCTCTGGGAGAAGCCTGGGAGGTTGGAGAGTGACAGCGGGAGGAGACTGACAGGTGTTTTTACCCCTCACCCCCACCCCAGAAGCCAGTAGCTCACTAAGTAAGTACACAAGCCAGAGCCTCCAAATCTCGGAGGAGGTTGTTTTTAGACACTCTGCTCTGCAATAGGAAATGCTAGGAAGGTGTCGACTGAGAAGACAGTGATTAGAGAAGGCTAGACAGGTTTTAATCTCCGCTAGTACTTGGGCATTTCTGAAAACGTATGATACAACCATAACTGAATCCCTGTTACGGCTTTATCCTAGGTGGCTGTGTGACACTACAGGTGGAGACTGCGGGTGTACAGCTTGACTTTCCTTTTGTCTGACAGTCATGATCACAAATTTGCTCCATTAGGTTAATCTTCAATGAATGTGTTCCTGTGAATAGTCAGGTGGTCTGAGATCTATATTTGGGGTCTTGGGGGCATTTATCCACTAATCGAGCCTTGATGAAAATCCTTTAACAGCTGTTACTGAAGGCGAATGACCTTGGCATCCTTAAGACCTCAAAGCAGCCTCTTAGGTGGGACTGTGCCGTGCCTGCGCTCTGAGGAAGATTACACCGTGAAATGGACTGCCTTGGAAATCATCTACCATGAGGGATGTTTGTCCACAGAGTGCTCTGTGGCCAGAAAGACTACAGCCGTATCTAGAACGTGTTCAGTTTTACAAACTGGGTACTTCCTGCAGACCCCTGCCTCATGGGGCTGATGTGAGGCCTAAATTAATCTACTTTCCTGAAAATGCTTCTGAAACCATAAACTCAAGGCCTCCCCCACCTTCTCAGTGTGAAGAGCATGAAATGTGATTCCGAAGCAAGCAATGAAAAGCTGTGCCTAACACGAGGCCCTTTCTCTCTCAGGATCGACGATGCTGCCAGCTTGGTCCAGCTGTACCACATGGTGCATCCCGAAGGCCAGTCAGCCCAGGAGGCCCGAGGGCAGGCGGCTGAGGGAGTAAACCTAATTAAGGTGAGGGGGCTCTTTGCACTGCTTTGTGGTGGTCACTGGGGAACATTCTCACTTAATGATAACTAACCAATTGGAGTATGGGCTACCTGTGGTTTCAGTGCGACTAGAGCTCCCAAACTTCAGCACAGGCAGCAGGGTGGTGCCGGGGAGAAGTGAGGTGGGGGGCTGGTAGCCGAAGGCCAGAGAGCCCGGCAGCCCCTGCGTTCACGCTGAAAGGGCAGGACAGGGCGGAGAAGGAAGCAGCACACTTCCCTCCTGTCCTTCCGTGTGTTCACGTTCCTCTTGGTGGGAGTGAGCAGGTGTCACGTCTTAGCTGTATTCCAGTTCTGGAACTGCACACCTCTCCAATCTGTAATGAGCCCCTGGTTTTACCTGTTAAATGCTCAGGTTGTTCAGGAAGGATAGGTTTTCTCTAATGCTCAGAACAAATGATTTTGTGGAACGGACTCCTATCACAGTAGTAATTTTTGCCTGCTGCAAAGCAGTTACCAGGACTACTAAAGTGAGCAGATAGGATTTAGTACATAATTTTCTGTGATAAGCTGGATAAAGCAAACATTTAAGAAATTCTCCTAAGGGGCAATGTCAGCGTTATCTTAACTAGGATTGCCTGGACTGTGTAAGGTACTTTTTATACATACCTTTATAAAAAGACTTCTTTAACCTGGCACAGCTCTTGAATTTAAGACAATTATGTAGTGACAAATTACAGCATGTCTTACTGCTCTATCTGTTCTTTTTTTTCAAACAGGTCTTTGCAAAAACAGAAGCACAGAAGGGGGCATACATAGAATTAACACTGCAGGCTTACCAAGAAGCATTCGTTAGCCATTCTGCAGCTTCCTGAAAGTAATTGTAAAATACATTCCATTTTACTAAATACTACCTTTCTCTTTGTTAATATTATGCTGAATGTTTAAAAATGTCAAGATTAAATAAGGTATATTTATAGTTTTCTATAAAGTTACTTTTTATTTTTGACATATCAAGTAAAACTTGTTGTTCTACTTCTAGGCCAGAAAGGGCTGACACTTCAGTGCCTGGTTATAGATTTAAGTACGCGCTCAGTTTTCCCAAATAGGCCAGCAGGTAACGCAGACATGGCCCAGCTTCGTGAGGTCAGAGGGGCAGGGGTTTGATTTTAGAGATGAAGTCTGAGGACAGAAACAGGGCATGGCTATTTTGAAGAACAACGTGACTGATCCCCAGGTGACGTAGCTTTGCCTCAGCCTTCTTAAAAGGAAGCCGAACAATCTTTAATTCCAAAGATTTTATGAGATATGGTCCAATGACAGTTAATGCGGAAACCAGCAATTTAAATGCTCCACATAAGCTCCTCTTCAGACAGAGGGCAGTGTTCAGCAGTCCACAGTGTTTATGTATAAACACATAACGATCTGTAGTAGCACATTCAGTCATCCAGAATATCTTCATCCAGGTTGATATCTGTTGTGTCGATATCTTCTAATTCCAAATTATCCAGATCTACTTCTAGTTCAAGTAAACTCTGAAACAAAAAGGAGAGGGTGATAAACTTACAGTACTATTACATGTGGTTCCCCATCCCAGAACAAGCACTAATGCTTCCTTTTTAGTTGAAAAGATTCCTCCTGAAACTGAAGAGACGGTGCATTCTGCCGCCATCTCTGGCTGGTGAAAGGAGGTTGGGTATGTCCTGTCCACCTACCTTCTCTTCCTTGTTGGCTTTGTGGGAGGCCACAATAACAGGAGTAGGAGAAGGGGGTTTCCCGTCGAGTTCCTGAAAGCCAGAGTGGAAGCACATGTGAAACAAAGGCATTTTTCTGGAAGGGTGCTCGGGATTACGATGTAGGAGAGGGCACTGAAGACCAACACTGCTGTCCCATGGAGTACTCACTGACCTGCTGAGCTGCAGATCTTGAGGGCCGAAAGCCTTTTGCCTCTTCCATAACATTTCTCTCTTCATTTGGCTACCAGAGAATAAAAATCACAATTCATCTATGAACCTGGCCTGGGTCCCACAGAGTAGCTGTTGCTCCAGCAGCAGCTCTACTTCCCCCGGGAGTCGCACTCACTGTGACAAGTGGGTACTGTTTGGCTGGCCACAGGTCAGCATGTGTCTCCTTCACCCATTCTTCAACAACAAAGGCTTCTTTCAATCCAGGGAAGAGATTTTCATACTCAGTCGGGTCAGCAAGGGATTCTGCTGCTTTCTGATTAACTTTTGAGAGATTCTCTCTCCAGAGTTTGACCACCCTAAAATAAACACCATGGAACCAGAGAGTAAGTACGCTCTGTTTTTATATGAAACATATCCTTCTAAAACTACAAGTCCATACCTTGAAACCTGACTGGGTAAGTAAGTTCGGGCCAGGAAGGCAGCTTCTGGCAGTCGTCCAGTTCGAATCAAGAGCTCCAGGCAAGCATCGAGCCTACAGAGTAAAAAGGAGAGGCACTACTACCAAGAAGTGGCACTTGCTTTACCTTAGGAAATGTAGCCTAGACGCAAAGTCAAAATCCCCACCTAACTCCCCCTTCCCCCCCAACACACACACAGGCATCTCATGTCTTTCGCTGAGCCCTTTACTTGTCCTACGGTCATACAGGGGATTTGAGATGACCCAGTGGTGGCCAACAGGCCAATTTTCCTTCAGTTTTTACCTTTGTGGTTTTTTTTTTCCCCCCTAAGTTTTATGGTGGATAATGTGGTTCAGAATCCAAAAAATTTCTTGTATTTTCCAATTACTTACAGTACATGTCCTATACATTGTGTCAAAAAGCCAAATATTTAAAACAACTACAAATGGATGTCAGAGTTCAGGTCACCAAATATTTTTGGAGGTATATTAATCAGTAAATGCACTCTTATTGGGATGCACACTTCCAAGTTTTATCACAGGATTTAATGAATACTGCTGTGTTTCATTTCCTAACACAGCAACTTGTCCCCAGGACAAGTTTTAAAATTTACGCTCTAGAGTTGAGCTTAAACTGGCATCCTCATCCTCTATTGTTTACCCATGTTGATCTCTTCACAGAAAAGTGCTCTGCCACTCTGGGGCCAGCTGGAACAGCGTACTAGAGCTTCCTGCTGAAAGCCACCACTGGGGCAGCACCTTCCTCTGCTGCCGCCCCTCAGCCAGCCATCAGTTCTCTGCAGGGCTCATTCTCCACACTCCTTTCCAAATGCCACTCACAGTAAGTGCCCAAACAACTCTAGTTACCATGTTTACCAATGTCTTTTAGGCCTTCGATTAACACTTACTTGCCCTGTAAAAAGTAGCTCATGAAGGCCACGTTATTTTTGCCATCTCTCTCTGCACCCTCTGCCAGCTTGTTCACCATACTAGCGTTTCCAGAGGCAGTGGCCAGAAGCAGCAGCCCCCCGTAGTCCTGTGCGTGGTGCAGGCACTCCTGGGCCAGGCCAAACTGACACTTGCTAATGGCCAGCTCAGCAAGTTGTTTCCACTTCTGTTCTGACTGCAAGACAGTGTTTCCAAGTTAAAACAGCTCTGGGAATAAACACTTAAACTTCTAACATCATTATGTTATTGCTGTACTGACCAGGGAAGACCATTCTATAGAGTTGTGCTAGTTAAGGTGACTCTACCCAAGTAAGAATGGCACAAAATGGAAGTTAGTTGTATATACACAACTAATTCAAACACAAATCAGTTTAATAATGCATTAATAATCAACCTATAACCATCTAATTAGACTGCAGTTATTTTAAGGAGAATGCTACTTCTTTGGAAAATGTAAAAGTGTTTACATTTTCCAAAGATACTGTCACTTGTAATCTTTCAGAAATCAAAATGTTGCATATTTGGATAATCTGGCTAGAATATATTTTGCACACCTAAATTCATCAGTAAATGCTAGATTTTAAAACAGGGGGGTCCTTAATACAAAAAATTCCACAAAAATGTCATTAAATTGTCTCTGAAAATGTCAGAACCTTTCTCTAAAACCATCTTTCTCATTACCTGGGGTTACTGGCAAATTATTTCTGTGTTCTTTGAAAATTCCAGACAAGTTTAATTACTATCTTTATATCTTCTTATGAAACAGATTTCATGTAAAATATGAAAATACTTTCTCTCAACCACATTAGAGTGCTAAGAATATCTCCAATATAATCTAAAGATTAACAAATTTTAAAGACCAGAGGTAACCTTATCAAAATGGGTAATTTGAAATTACCAACACCTAGAAGTACCTACTGATCTTTCCATCAGTTAAGAAAAATCATGTTAGTACATACCTCTGCTTCAACTGCTAACTGATATGCGATTTTTAACTCTCCAAGCTGCAGAGCAAGCTCAAAACAATGTTCAGGATCTGTAGACACTGTGAGAGCTTGCTGCTTAAAGCCCTAAAGATGAAAAACACCAAATGTGAGATTTATGTTCACAAGCACTTTGTGTATACACAATTCATCTATCATACTGAAAATATTGCTGACAAACCCTACTAGATAAATAATACCTTTTAATGAGAAGACAGAAAAAAGGACTAATTAAATTAGGTGAGAGCAGATATTCATCTGTGTAATGTCAAATGGTTTTTCCTCTAGAGGATTTTTTACTTTACACTGACTTGAGGGGCACAGAGATCGCCCATCTACTGGTTCAGCAAAGTACCTGCAGCAGCCAGGAACCAGGAACTCAATCCTGCTCTCTCGTGTATGGCAGGGACCCAACCACTTGAGCCATCAAATGTTGCTTCCCAGGGTGCACATTAGCAGGAAGCTAGAATCAGAAGTGGCACTGAGGCTCGAAACCCAGGCACGCTGGCATCCCATATGGGTGCTGGTTCGAGACCTGGCTGCTCCACTTCCGATCTGGACCTCTGCTATGGCCTGGGAAAGCAGTGGAATATGGCCCAAGTCCTTGGGCCCCTGCACCCACTTGGGAGTCATGGAGGAGGCTCCTGGCTTCGGATTGGCGCAGCTCTGGCTGTTGCGGCCAGTTGGGGAGTGAGCCATCAGAGGGAAGACCTCTCTCCCTCTCCTCTCCCTGTGTAACTCTGACTTTCAAATAAATTTTTTTTTTTTTTTAAACAATGGCGGCTAGTCAATCCTACTCTAGTAAAACAACTTGTAAAATTAGAAAAGCTGATCTATGAGCAATTTCAGAGAACAGGCACAGTGGCACAATTGTAGCTGCTGAAAATCAATCAACAACCTGGGCCTTAGAGGTCCTCTGTCTAGTCCCTTATCTCACGGATAAGTCTATTAGTGGTAAATGGACAAATAAAAATCTTCCAAGTTTCTTCCAATTGTAGGTCATTTAGCAAACATTTTGTATTCAGGTCCATAAACCTGTACGGTGGCTCACCTATGCCTTTACTGGTCTCATGTCCAGTTTATCTAAATCAGCAAGTTTACCAAAGGACAGAAGTCAGATTTTCTCATGCTCTGTTAAGCCATCAGGAATAGGCCTTTAACCTGTAATGCATGAATTAGCTTCTCTCCTAAGTTAAACAGTATGGATGGGTCTGCCCTATGGGCACATATTTCAGCTTTAGGGATATAGTGTGTCAGACAAAAAGCTCAGGGCTAGTTTACTCCTAAGGAGTAAGGACAGCATAAGAAACATCCCAATTCGTACTGCAGAACATGAAGGGTCAGCACTGAAACAATCGCCCTAACAGCAGTTAGTCCAGGACTGGTCCCCCCCATTCCCTGATGCATAAAGAAGGCAGGTTTACTCCTTGGACAGGGTAAAGTGGACCATCTCCAGCTGGGGGAATGCCTATCCCACCAAAGGGAGTACTGAGTATCAAAGGGAAAATCATAGGCTCAGTGAGACACTGGGAAGGGATGTGTGGACTAAATGAAATGCTACATGCTAAGTCTCCCAAGTCGTCTTATACTTAGCCCAAGAAAGATGGTGACTGGGGAGCTGCTTTTAATATTGCAGTATGTCAGCCAAAGCAGCGCCCAGTACATTGTTAGGTGCTCATTAAATTAACTGAATAAATACATGATTATTAAGTTCATTAGCTGAAGGTAATGACAGTGAGGCTCCCTAATCAGCCTAAACACATCACACAATGCCATCCACACCCTACACACTCAGCCCTTTTGATGTGTTTCTTGGACCTCTGCTCTTGAAAGACAGAGATCAAAAATGAATAAAAGCAACTTGAAGGAAGCACTTTAAAAAAACAAAAAAATTCATAGCCTCAGAGATAAATTTTCATCTTTATAAGTAAGATTAAGTCATAGACTAATAGGAAAATCAGCTGGGGTAGGTCCAATGTTTGACAGTTTGAGAAGGAATACAGAAAACAAATCACCATAAAATGATGCCTGAAAATCTCTCAGAAGTGAAGGACATCACTTTCCCAAAGGACTCATGTAATACCCAACAGACCAAATGAAACTAATCTCTACAAGGCCCACCAAGAGTGACATCCACAAAGCTTCCTCAGAGGAACAAAACAGGCCATATACCAAGAATTGGGAATAAAAATGCTTTAGACTTCAACAACTAGAAGCTAAAAGGCAATGGAACAATAACAGTGCCTTCAAAACTTAAAATTACCCCCAACCTAGAGTTGTATAGTTGGTTAAATGGGCCAGTATGTTACAGGGTAGGACAATGGTACTTTCATATATTCAAAGCCTCAAAAACTTGACCTCCCACTAACGACCCTTTCTCGGGAAACTGAAGAACTTGCTCCACCAAAATGAGGGCATCAACCAGGAAAGACGACGGGATTACAGGAAACAATGGATTCTTCTCTACAGAGGCCAAGAGAAGCCTGGCTATGATGGTGGGGAGATATCCATGATGAGAGCAGAAAAGCCAGTTCAGTCTGCAGCCAACTAAATAAACTGAAAGGAGAGCGCGAGAAATCTGGAGAGTTGAGAGAGTCTAGGGGGATGTAACCTTAAGTACACAGAAAACTACAGACTCTAGAGAACTCTTAGAGCTTTCTTTCGTGCAGCTGTCAGCCCTAACTGCACGGCTCACCTGTGAGCCTTTTACATAGCCCTAACAACAAATGTCAAGGACTGATGCACCCAAAATTATATGAACATACCTAGGACAAGGCATAGGAAAGGGACACGTGTATTGCAGATTGGGGGGCAGGAGTAGGCACAGCAGAAGAAAGCTCAGCCTTCACCTGTGGGAAGTCACAGGAAATGAAGAAACAGCTGACTTTTATGTTATTTAGAGATGTGGAACAAATACAACAAGAGTTAAGGAATTATCTCCAGGCAACAGGAAGGACAGAAGGGAGAGCCGCTTTATCTCCAGTCTTAGAGAACTTTGTGCATATATAACTGACAGATACTACATTAAGAAAAAGGCATGTCACTGAGGCAGGTGGGATACAGAGAAAAAGGAAGCACAGAAATGAAAATATTAAGACTACAAAAGAAGTATGCAGGAGGATGCTACATCTAACATTTCAAAGGGGTACAAAAGACACTAAGAGAAAGTTAAGGAGAGTATACCACGTGCTTTCACAGTGTGTACATACAAATGCAGAACTGACACCAAAACTACAGGGACGGCTTGGCAGTTGAGAAATCCACACTAACAGTCTTTCAAATTGCTGATTTTAAAAAAAACCTCTTACCTGCTTTTCCAAAAAGTGTGCAACTCTGGTCCTTTGTTCCTTTGGAATGGTGGGAAGGACCTTATCAGCCATACCGAAGTCCCTCCGCATGACAGCTGTCTGGTATTCCAGGACTGACACCAGCAGGGAGTAGCTTACAATGTTTAATTCTTTATCACCCAGATAGAGCCGGTTATCCTTAGGAATATAGCCCAGGAGATACATTGTCCTATAACAGAACCAGAAACCAAGTCAGAAGCAAACTCAAATCTGCAGTTACACATGCACACACACACAGCCTCTTGCTCAAAACCTTTCCATTTGGGGCAATTTCAGTGAATGACAGGCACCTACTGAAACTTTTAACACTGAAAGATCAGCCTACCATTGCTACAAGTCAGCTACAGATTTTGTTTAAAAAGCACGCTTTTGGCCGGCGCTGCGATTCACTTGGCTAATCCTCCACCTGCAGCGCTGGCACCCCGGGGTTCTAGTCCCAGTTGGGGCGCCAGATTCTGTCCTGGTTGCCCCTCTTCCAGGCCAGCTCTCTGCTATGGCCCAGGAAGGCAATGGAGGATGGCCCAAGTGCTTGGGCCCTGCACCCGCATGGGAGACCAGGAGGAAGCACCTGGCTCCTAGCTTCGGATCGGCACAGCGCATCGACCGCAGCGCGCCAGCTGTGGCAGCCATTTTGGGGGTGAACCAACGGAAAAGGGAAGACCTTTGTCTCTGTCTCTCTAACTCTGCCTGTCAAAAACAAACAACAACAACAACAAAAAAAAAAACCAGCACACTTTTAGGTTGCTTAAGACAAAAGCAAAACAATTTAACATTACCTGTCCAAATGGGCAATGGTGACTATTTCTCCTCCGACATAATAATTTAATCTGTTCACAGAACTTGTGTAAATGAAACAATCGCCTACCCAAAGCCCTGTTTTCACAATTTCCTGAATCTCACCAAGAACCTGCAGCAAGAGAATAAAAAACTATTACTATCTTATCCAACATGAGGAACTTGTAACAAAACGCTTAGAGTGATATGGCAGAATAAGGTACACAAAATAAAATCCTATTTCAAGGGGAAAAATTTTTTTTTCCTTGGAATTTTCATTGGCTTTCTTCACTCAAGAGAATAAATTCCTGGGGCTGGTGTTACGGCACAGCAGGTTAGGCCGCCGCCGGCAAATCCAGCATCCCCTGTGAGGGCCAGTTCAAGCTCCTGCTGCTCTATTTTCCATTCAGCCCCTTGCTGATGAGCCTGTGAAAGCAGCAGATGGCTGAAGTGCTTGGGTCCCTGCCCACCCATGTGAGAGACCAGGATGGATTTCTGGGTTCCTGACTTTGGCCTAGCCCAACCCAGGTTATTGCAACTATTTGAGGAGTAAACCAGCAGGTGGAAGATTCTCTCTCTCTCTGTGCAATTCTGCCTTTCAGGTAAAATGAATAAATTTAAAAAAAATAAAAAATTCCTAACTAATGTTGTCCAACATGAACAGCCTCAAAGCAGAAGATGACATCGAGCCTAATTTGTAATTAGTGCATTGGTTTTCATTTAAATTATAGTAAAAGTAGTATGTAAAATAATTTTTTTAAAAATTTGAGGAGGGGCTGGCACTGCACCATAGTGGGTAAATAAATCTTTAAAATAAAATTTGAGGGGCCAGCAGTGTGGCATGGTGAGTAAAACCACCATCTGCAGTACCAGTATCCCATATGGGTGCTGGTTCAAGTTCTGGCAGCGCCAGATTTTATTTATTTGACAGGTAGAGTTATAGACAGTGAGAGGGAGAGACAGAGAGAAAAGTCTTCTGTCCGCTGGTTCACTCCCCAAATGGCCACAACAGCCAGAACTGAGCCAATCCAAAGCCAGGAGCCTCCTCTGGGTCTCCCATGTGGGTGCAGGGGCCCAAGCACTTAGGCCATACTCTACTGCTTCCTAGGCCATGGCAGCTCCCCTGTTAAGGGGAAGATGGCCCAAGTAGTTGGGTCCCCACACCCACATGGGAGACCCAGAAGAAGTTCTTGGTTCCTGGCTTTGGCCTGGCCCAGTTCTGGTCATTGTAGGCATTTGGGAAGTGAACCAGCGGATGGAGGATCTCTATCTGCCTCTGTCTCTCAAATAAATAAATAAATCTTTTTAAAAATATTTGAGAGGCAGAGAGCGAGAGAGGCTCCCATCGGCTGTACTTTCCAAATGCCTACAATGGCCAGGACTAGGGCAGGCTGAAGCTGGGAGCATTAGGAACTCAATTCTGGTCTCCCACATGGGTGGCAGGGAACTACCTATCTGTGGTATCATCTGCTTCCTCTCAAGGTGTGAGTTATCAGGAAGCTAGAATCAGTAGCAGTGCCTGGACTCAAATCAGGCCCTTTGATGAGGGATGCAGGAATCCCAAGTGGGGTTTTAACTGCTTACCAAACACCACTTGGGAGTACCTGGGCAAGAAATACATAAACACATAATGTACAATTAAAAACCACAAATTCCTAGGTGAGTATTTGTAATGTGAAATCTCATTGTTGGGTCAAAACTATGGTCTGAGAGATTATTATTTTAAACCCTCTAAGACACAGGAAACTGGAATGTTAAGTATTTCATGGCACCTCTCCACAATGGGTGACTTATCTTTAATATTTGGGAGCTCACCTAAACCATTCTTGCTAAACAGTCTTAGAACCAAAACAATCACAAATTTCCTTATAGAAAAATATCCGTGGAAATCTACAGATGTCCTAAAATCAAAGCACAAGCCTCTTTTAAACCTATTTGCTTTCAGATTGACTCTCAAGCCAAGATTTTTAATTTTCACATGTCACCAGAACCTTTAAATGATGAGTTTCTCCAATCCTGATTAATAATGAAGTGCTGCAGTCAGTAGTGTGTGTTGTAAGAATACAAATCATTTAACAACAAAGCAGTGGTTATGCTGCTGCAGTTACCTCAAAGGCGTCTTCAATGCCGTCTTCGGTAACACCCTCATGTGTTTCCTGTGCAGACAGGACTTTTTCTGACAGATACTTAAGGATAAAAAATGACTCCTCAGTGGCAATGCAGACGAGCTCTCCCGAGTCTGACCAGAAAATCTGCAATGCAACAGGCAAAGATAGAGACAAGCGATTTGCATTTCTGAGTAGATATGACAAACTACATATACTTTATTTCTTACAAGAATTACCTTTTGACATTAAGATAGTACACAATAATTTATAAAGTGCAATTATACCTATGTTTGGGAGGTGGACAGGGAAGGGCTGTTCTACTTAGCTTAGCAATGTGAAGACAGGAAGGAGAGCAGTCAGTGCATGCTGGGTGTACTATCACCTAGACAGGCAGACGCGTTCCAGCATACTGCCCTAGACACGTTCCTCGTCCTTTCCACTATCTGCCACCCCTCCGCAGCCTTTGTAGACATTTATCCCAACTGCCTCTCCCAGTGACATTTTAATACCACAGATACACTGTTCATACCCAGGTAATGCATACATATGGGGTACACGAGTGTGTATATAACATATATACACCTAACTGCACTTTATACATAAAGAGAGAAAGGGTTTTTTTGGTTCCTATTCACCAGGAACCAGTTTTGCCTCTCCTGAGAATGCAGGTTCTGGAAGACGGAAGGGAGACCCAAGAGGTGGTTTTTCCCCACGGTGGACGCTGTCGAGGCAGCAGGCACTGCAAAGGCAGACACTCGGTGCCGCAGTGCTGAGTGGTCACCTCCAGAGTACTCAGCCGTCACTAGCTGCTGTCTGAACGGACTTCTTGACTGGAAAGCATGCTCTTTCACTCCATCAAAAAACATTTAAACACGAATGGCATCTTGAGATTTGGATAAATTTCTATACTTTTCAAAAATCTTCAATGTCAGCTGCCTCATTCAAATACCACAATCCTGACTTTCTGAGCAGTTCTGAGGTAAATGGTATTCTGCCCAACTCAAGGGAACAGGGACAGTGCAGGGCTACTTCTTGGTCTCAGGGACCCACAATCTGTCACAAAGACGAACATTCCAATGGCGACAATGGAGTCAAAACTCACGTGTTTGGGCTGAATTTCAATCCTGCGTATGAGTTCTGTGTTGTCCCAGTCATAGAAGGCTAAGCCATTCACAGATCTGACTCCCAGTAAGAAGCCTCCATATATGCCTTAACAGAACATAAACACAGTTTTGTTTAGATGTTTGTGAGCTCTGCAAAGTGTTTAAAAATGTATCATATATAAATATCACTCACTTTCAGCTCCAAAATCTGGCTTAAATGATTTTTTTTCCTTAAAGTTCTTAAATATCTTTACAACACTGTTGCTCTCTCTTATTGCATATCTGGGCGGGGGGAAAGAGAAAGTAAACAGCATATTTAGTATATACTAAACCACAGTTTTATCAAATGTTAGCAGTATCTTCAAATATTTTTGAATAATTATGCAAAAATATGAGTATTTAAAGACTGATGTATTTTTTTCTTAAGAGACCAGTGAATTTCTTACAGTAGGACAATGAGTGGATTTCATACTGTGTATTACACAAATTACTAGGGCTTATAAACTATTTAGAAACTGGGTATAACCAAAATGTCAATCAGTAGGCAAATGATTAAACAAATTGTGATATATTCATAAAATGGAGTATTACTCTGCAAACAGCAGACATTGATTAGTTATCCAGGCAACGCAAGGCTGTGTCTAGGAAACATTTTGCTGAACAAAAGAAGCTGGATACATCAGGGCATTAGGACTGCACTTATATTAACCTCTAAAAAAGACTGATCTACATATGGTGGCAAAAAGCAAATGAGTATCTGCCTGTGGCTGGGAATGTGCATTTGTCCAAATTTACTGAAATGCACACTGAAAGTGGTACACTGTCCTGCACAAATTATACCCCATGAAGCTAATCAAAAACAAAAGAAAAACTGTGACAAGCGGCTTTCAGTCAGCCATGTTCAGCAACAACTCGGGAAAGTGGTTATTCTGGCCTCTGCCTTGAAAGCGGCTCAGAGCTATCACTGGATATTTGATAACTGTGCTTGGGGTGAGTGCGCTGTTGGTTTGAGGACAACGCTGGGCAAGGTCTTGGCTGCATAAAGCTGCCAAGAGGCAACTATCAAAATAAAGGGGGAGGTGTGTTTGGAGAAGTGAGAGCAGTCATGAACTGCAGCTCTGCTCTGTGGTACACAGAACTGTGTGTGTGTGCGTCTACTCAAGAAATTCATGGAAAGATGAAAAAAATTCCCCATCTCTCAGTAAATGGTGCTATAAAAACTTTTTAAATATATCGTATTATGAAGAGGCTCAAGTCACCCTACCGTTTGGTGGCAGAAGGCAACACAAAACATGGGGAAAACTAAGACAACTAGGAAGACGTAATTCAGCTATGTGGTCTGAAAACACCAAAGCCCTAATGTTTATTACATGCACCAAACAGGAGTCAAAAAGGAACTGGAGTTTGTGACTATCTAGTAAAACAACTTGAGACTTAAATGATTTCTTTCTTTTAATCAACATTCTGATTTCAGACAGAAATCTGATTTGTTAACAACACAGAAAATCAGCTTTTAAAAAGATTCAATAGGGGTATAATAAGTGTAGCCACCTGCAATGCTGGCATCCCTGTGGGTGCCAGTTCATGTCCCGGCTCCTCTACTTCAATCCACCTCCCTGCTAATAATGTGCCTGGGAAAGCAGTGGAAGACGGCCCAACTGCTTGGGCCCCTGCACCCATGTGGGAGACCTGAAGAAGCTCCTTTCTCCTGATTTTGGCCTGCCCCAGCAGTCACCTGGGGTATGAACCAGGAGATGGAAGATCTCTTTGTCTCTCCCTCTTACTCTTTCAAATAATTAAGTCTTTTTTAAAAATTGAATAAAGTTCTTATCAGGATGACATCAAACCACAAAGCATCTGTCCAAACAGCAGCAGCAGTACTTTAGGACACACGTGATCAGGAGGGCCTGCCAAGGGCTAAGGGGCATCAGCAGCAGGTCCTGTTAGGGTTCCATCAAGGAAATGGGTGCTGGGTGCTCAGTGCAGTGGGATTACTGGGTCAGCCTGAGAGTCGGCCCAACAGTGAATACAGGGAGGGCAAGGTCAGTTCACAGTGCAGCTGCCCCCGATTCTAACTTCCGATGACTGCTTCAGTAAGAACTGTGTTAACCACGAGAAGCACAGCCTGCCCTGCACCTCCAGCACCTCTTCTGGACAGCAGCTCTCAGCATGCATCTGTAACCAGGACAAGCTGCATCTCAGTCAGAACTTACTCTGAGGAATCATGGGCCCATGCGAACTCCTGGGCAGACCCAAAGCTCTTATTTCTCAAGGCCATTGCCGTGTAGATGATGTACTCTCCATCACCGCACACCACAACAAACCTAGAAATTACAGAAGCCAGGGAGGGAAGGACAGAGGAATAATGACATGTAGGAGTTAGGAAACAACAGTTCATCTTTATGGTAAAATAACTGTAATAGCAAATAATATTTCAACCAATAATTACAATTTTATCTTTGAAATACAATACAATCTTTGAATACAAGCCAGACAAAAATATTCCAGCCAACAAATCCAAAAGCAAATCACAAATATGGGATTACTACTGAAAATGTCACTGTAATGGTCTCCTCTTATCAACAGAGGAGGCCGGGGACGGGAAGGTGAAAAGGACTAGACATGCAGAGGACGGAATTCAGTTCTGCAGCTGCTATCTGCTGAGCACCAAGATGCCCAGGACATAACTCACAACACACTGCAAGAAGGCACTGTCTTATTCTAAGACCCTCTTCATTTTAAAGTTGATCTTTCAAAGCAATGAAAATATATTAACTCTGTTTTTAATGACTTGTTAAATTTCTCAAGAGTACTTTAACATTTAAATGAGTAGATAATGCATAAACAAAATTTTTTGTCAATACACATAAAACAACTCAAAATCAGCATTTAGAACACTGTAATGGCAAAATAAAAAGCTTACAGCAAAGAATATTTCAGGTATTAAGAGAAATATTCTTCTTAAGAGCAATGAGTCAGAAAATACTGAGAGAGCACCTACTAAGTCTCAGGGTAAGGTAAGACCCTGGCCTCAAAAGAACACAGCATAACACACGAGAAGTAAGAGTAAACAATACTACTTTACTCTTACAGTCTGTGTGCTGCAGAACAGGGCCAAGAAGGCAAACATTTTGCATGCCAGCTTGATCAAGTGGCAGGCCTGCTGCAGCTGTGCTGAGGATTACGAGACTAGGGCAAGGGCTCGGTGCAGAATGACCAGCGATGCCCACCACAGGGCAGAAATGGAACAGGCTGTGGCTCCGCACACTGTGACCTCACACACACAAGCTCAGCGACAGACCTGAGCAATGGCTTACCGCCCGTTGGGATTGTGCTGAATAGTCTGAGGGTATATCTCACAACTGCCCATATCCTTCACTGCCAGTGGCAGCCTTTCTCCATCTTTAATTTCAGCATCTCCCATTGCCTTTAGGTTTGCCTGCTGGACTTCTGAATGCTTGGCCCAAATGATCTTTCCATTGGCATCCATGGACATCGCAGGTTCCTCTCGACCAAGCTGACGAATGACAAGTGGCTCTTAGCAATGAAAGGAAACCAAGTGGAACCACAGCAAAATCAGACACTCTTTTCCCTTAACAGCAAGCTCTTTCCTTTCTTCCACCTTTAATGTCCACTGCTTAAATTCTAGTGCTTGCTTACGGGTCAGTTTAATAAGACTGGTGACTTAGAACATGACAGTATTAAAATACAAGAAAAACAGCTTTGCCTAAGTCCATCTATTTAGAAAAACAGTCTGAATACCTTAACAATGATGCTCCCTTCGTCATAGCCCAGCGCGACACTGTTGGAGCCTCTCAGACTGGCCACACACCACACCCTCTCCATTCCGTAATTCAGCGTGCTCTCTAGCCGGTAGGTGCTTGAATGCCAAATGCGCACTGTCCCTATAAAGAACAGTGTGAATATTCCCTTTTGATACAAACATCCACAAGTGTGTCAGCTGAATAAGCCACATGAAGATCTTGTATTCAAACACAGAACATTTCCTGGCAGTTTAATGACAATGGTGGGGGAGGAAGGTGGCGGGAGTCTATAGTCTTCGAATGATTTTATAAATTAATGTAAACATAACAACAAACTTTTCGGGTGGGCGTTTGGTTAAGACACTGCATACTGGAGTGCCTGGGCTGAGCCCTTGCTCTGCTCCTGGCTCCAGCTTCCTCCTCATGTGCACCCTGGGAAGCAGCAGGAAGGTGTCGGCTCAAGTATCTGGGTTCCCTCGCCCACATGTGAGACCCAGTCTGAGTCCCAGTCTCCTGGCTTCACAGTCCACCCCCCAGCCTTGGCTGTTGCAGGCATTTGGGGAGTGAACCAGCAGATGGGAGAGCTCTGCCTGTCTGCCTTTCAAGTAAATAAAAATCTTTAAAAATGTTTAAGAAACTAAGAAATATTACTTTCAGTGTAAAACAGGATATCCTGAATAGGTTGCTCATTCAGTGTCTGGTGCTTTGTATACACAGGTGGTTTCTTCTCTCACTATAATCCAATGAAGTGTATATGTGTGTTCTCATTTTATATTTTACCTAGACAACACATACGTAAAGTGGGTGAGCCTGAACGTGAACCCAGGTCTGTCTAACTGAAACATGGGCTTTTTCAGTCTGTTTCTAGGCCATCTGGTATCCTCTTTAAGTAAAAGAATTAAAATCCATTAGAATAAAAATCCATTAGAATGGTGACACCAATGCTAATAATGCCTCTTTAAGTCTTCTATAGCTGAAGTCTAATACTCTAATAAAAATATCTAAGTCCTTGGAAATTTCCAATTATAATGCAGAGACCCTGCCTGGTTTAAATATCCCAGAGATATTACAAGGATAGGAATACAGTTATACTTCTGACTTACCATCTTCTGAACCTGTAATGATGATTGGCAACTCCGGATGAAAACTGGCACAAGACACATTTTGGGCGTGACCCTCCAATGTCTGCACACATGTTTTATTCTGTAATCAAGACACAGAAATCATTTTTATTATTGAAAAGTAACCTAGCCTTAATTTTTTGATGCACAGATACCTTGTAAATGATAACTGCTGTGACAAGCTAATATCCAATACAAGAGCTGGCGCTGTGGTGTACTGGATAAAGCCACTGACTGTAGTGTTGGCATCCCATATGGACACCAGTTCGAGTCCCGGCTGCTCCACTTCCATTCCAGCTCTCTGCTATGGCCTGGGAAAGCAGTGGAAGATGGCCCAAGTCCTTGGGCCCCTGCACCCATGTGGGAGACCTGGAAGAAGCTCCTAGCTCTTGGCTTCAGATCAGCCTGGCTTCGGATCGGCCCATCTCTGGCCACTGCAGCCATTTGGGGAGTGAACCAGTGGATGGAAGACCTCTCTCTCTCAACTCTGACTTCCAAATAAATTAATTAAAAAAATTTAATACAGAAATTTTTGAAATTTTTTTGTATATATATTTTCTCTAAATATCTCATAGAACAGGTAATATAACTATCAAACTTGAAGATGAAAAAAAACACAAAAATATCCAGATTTTCCACTGAATGTTATCTCCTCCCTTAATACTGACACTTGGGGCCAGCACTGTGGTGTAGCTGGTAAAGTCGCCATCTGCAGCGCTAGCATCCCATATGGGTGCTGTTCAAGTTCTGGCTGCTCCACTTCCTATCCAGCTCTCAGCTAACACACTTGGGAAAGCAGTGGGAGATGGCCAAGTTGTTGGGTCCCTGTACCCACATGGGAGACCTGGATGAAGCTCCTGGCTCTTAACTTCAGTCTTTCCTAGTTCTGGCCATTGTGGCCATTTGGTGAGTGAACCAGTGGATGGAAGACTCTCCCCCCCGCCCCGCCTTTTTCTCTCTCTGTTTGCCTTTCCCTCTCTGCAACTCTTTCAAATAAATAAATCTTAAAAAAAAAAAATAAAATAAATAAATACTAGCACACAGCATCTGTGGACTAAGCAGACAATACTACTTTTAGCCTTTAATATTTGTATTACAGATTTAAGTACAAATGTGAGGAAGTTTCAAAGTAGAATGCTTTTTCTAGGCTTCATTTTGTTAGGTTATAGAAATTTTTAATGTAAGAAAAAAATAGAAATTTAAATATCAGAGATAAAAAGCATAGTAGTGAAGAGTTCCTAACCAGGTTTATAAGCATCCATGTGGTAAAATGGTTGTCATGACATTGTTGATTTGCAAGTTTTCAAATATAAATGGAAACCTGCCTATGAGGATATTGGGTGAGGTATAAGTTAATATTAGAATGTTAAAATGTCTAATTCCTATTATTAAATAAAAAATAAACATGCTGACATTTTTGTTTTTAAAATCTTGAGAAAGGGGCTGGCATTGTGGCACAGTGGGTGATCCCCTGTCTGTAATAGCATCCCATATGGGTGCTGGCTTGAGTCCCAGCTGCTCCACTTCCAACACTGCTCCCTGCTATTGGCCTGGGAAAGCAGCAAAGATTGCCTAAGTGCTTGGGGCTCTGTACCCATGTGGGAGAGCTGGAAGAAGCTCCTGGCTTCAGCCTGGTCTAGCCTTGGCTGTTACAGCCCTCTGGGGAGTGAATCAGTAGATGGAAGATCTCTCTGTCTCTCCCTCTGTCTCTGTAACTCTTTCAAATAAATAAATAAACCTCTACAGAAAAAAAAAGAAAAAAAACCTCAAGTGTTACATATTTGTGTTAGGTACAGATACTGTGGCATTAGTTATTAAGGTATGAACACAGTTTAACTATCCTTTAAGAAACATATCTAACACGTGGCAAGTAAGTTATGAAAGCACCGTACCTGATAATCCCATATTTTAACAAGACGGTCGTCGGCACCTGAAATGAGGTACGGTTTGTCGCCACCGCTGTAGTAATCAATGCAGTTCACGCCTTTCTCGTGTCCCTCCAGCGTGAAGTTTGGTGATGAAGAGCCCAGCTGCCACACCTTCAGAGAGCAACAGCATCCACGGGTCAGCACGGGGCCTGGCTTCCCCAAAGGCAGCTCCACCACACTTCCAACACGTTACATAGACGCCAGAACCCGGAGAGAAAGCCAAAGACTCCCCCTGTTCACTCTCCTGTCTGTTCCTTCTCACTTTAGCTTCATTTCCAGGGCCGAATGACTAAGGAAAAAGCAGTTTCCAGGCTCTGACCCTACAGATTCTGATCTAGTCAGTTCACAATAAAGCCCAGGAACCAGGATGCTTTTAGACTTTGAGAAACACTACTTTAAGGACAGGAAAGGATTCTGATATAAAGCTAATGAAAATAGAGTTAGAAAGATGTATCAAAGGGGTAAGCTCATTGCTTAATTTAAAAATTTAAGAAGTAGTCAAAAAATTATCACAGCTCAGGATACAGCTTTGTCTTTACAAATATCTACTGCGTACCCATCACATGGGAGGCTCTCTGAGGAGTATGAAGATGTGTAAACAAACATTTACCACTCACTGTATACAACAAACTCTACTAGAGTCAATGACAATTCTTATTCTCAAGATAAACTCAATTTAGTGAAGAAACCTTAAAACTAATTTCAAAGTTTCCAATCTATGACAAAACCAAGGATAATGCAAAAAAAGGGGGGAAAAGGGTCAAAATCTCAAGATATTCAGATACCTAACATTTTACATAAAAGAAAACCAAATAAAAACATTACACAGATATTAAGCAAAAATTAATGTGAGGGCAGGCATTGTGGTACAGGAGGTTAAGACATCCTCTTCCCAAACCCCCAAAAATATCAGCATCCCACATGAGCATAGGTTCGAATCCTAGCTGCTCCACTTTCAATCCAGCTCACAGCTAATGTACCTGGGACAGCAGCAGCAAATGGCCCAATTGATTAGGCCCCTGCCACCCATGTGGGCAGGGGTGCTCCAGGCTCCTGGTTTTGGTCTGGCCCAGCTCTGGCCATTGTGGCCATTTGAGGAGTCAATCAGTAAAGGAAGATCTTTAACTCTGCCTTTCAAATAAATCTTTAACCAAAGAAAGTTAATGTGACCAGAGTTGTGGCACAGTGATTAAAGTGCCTTGCTTGTACTGGGTACTTAATACATGTGGCAGTGAATGAAGTTATATTTTTTTCTGTTATAATAATTAAAGTATGTCTATATGCATAGATTTTAAATCACATTAACTTTAACCTGCAGTGCAAGTACCCCATATGGACACTGGTTTGAGTCCCAGCTGCTCCACTTTCAATCCAGCTCTCTGCTATGGCCTGGGAAAGCAGTAGAGGATGGCTCAAATCCTTGGGCCCCTGCACTTGCATGGAGACCTAGAAGAAGCTCCTGGCTTCTGTCTTCAAATCTGCCCAGCTCCAGCCGTGGCAGCCATTTGGGGAGTGAACCAGCAGAGAGAAGACTCTCTCTTTCCCTGCCTCTGCCTCTCTGTAGCTCCACCTTTCAAATAAATTAACACATAAATCTTTAAAACAAAAAAAGTTAATGTGATTTAAAATCTATGCATATAGACATACTTTAATTATTATAACAGAAAAAATATAACTTCATTCACTGTCACATGTATTAAGTACCCAGTACAAGCAAGGCACTGTGTTGTTACTGGAGATCTGTGTTGGGAAAGGTAACACACGGTTTCTTTCCCAAACACCAAAATCTCAGGGGATAAACACTTCCAAAACCAAATTAATTATAACAATGTGGAAAAGCCATAATAGGTGCAAAAAGCAATGGCAGGAATGAGAGGAACAAAACTGGCTCTGTGCATGGGTGATGT